CGGACCCCTCGGCCGAGGGTCCCGAACGGAAACCGGAACTCCCGGAACTTCTGGAAGACCCTTCCCCCGAGTGGCGCCGGGAGCTGCTCCCGCCGCGCAGCCCCGCGGGGGGCCCGACCCTCAACCCCCAGAAACGCAAACCCGACATCGTCCTCCCCTTGTTCAGCCGCCCCGGGATCTACCCCGACCCCCACAGCCCTTTCTCTGTCTCCCCCATCCCGGGAGGGCGTCCCGGGGTCCTCAACGTGCCCATTTCTCCCGCTCTCTCCCTCACTCCCACCCTCTTCTCCTACAGCCCTTCCCCGGGCCTCAGCCCCTTCACGGGAAGCAGCTGCTTCTCCTTCAACCCCGAGGAGATGAAACACTACCTGCATTCCCAGGCCTGCTCTGTCTTCAACTACCACCTGAGCCCGAGGACATTCCCGCGTTACCCGCTCATGGTGCCTCCTCTCCAGTGCCAGCTCCCCCTGGAAGAGCAGCCCCAGTTCCCCATCAAGCTCCAACCTCCCCCGGTGGGGAGAAAAAACAGGGAGAGACTGGAAAGCAGCTCCGAGGAGGCTCCTCAACTGGGAAACCCTCCTCCTCCTCCTCCTCTTCCCAGGGTGAAGGTGGAACCGAGCATGGAGAGGGAAGCGGAAGAGAAGGGAAAAGCTGAGGGAGGTGACGGAGCCAACGCGGGAAGCGCCGCGGAAGAGGAGAAAGGTCCCGTCTTTGCCCGCCCGGCTGCACCATCTTGGCACCCGACGCCTCCTTTCCAGCCTGAGGAAACCTTGGAGCAAGGAGGAGGAGGAGGAGAAGGAGGAAGTGGAGAAAAACAAGCCCTTCCCAGGGATGTTCCCGGAGAAACGGGAGGGCAGGAGAAGCGGGAAGATGCTCTGATGCCTCCCAAGCTGCGGCTGAAGCGGCGCTGGCACGGGGACCGCGCCGGGGACGCCCCCGAGGAGCAGCAGCCCCCCCAAGGTCGCCCCCACTGCAACGGGACCCCCCATTTGGTGGTCACCCCCCCCAAGGTGGGGACGACCCCCCTGGTCACCGACACCTAAAGTTGGGAATGAGGTTGGGAAAAGGAGGAGGAGGAGGAGGAGGAGGGAGACGGACCCGTCGGCGCCGCGATTCCCGGGTGTTGATGTAGCAAAAGGTTGCAGGTTTGGGGGGTGTTTTTTCCTTATTTTGGGAAGTTGGGGTTGGTTTGTTTTCCTTGTGGAGTTGCAGGTTTGTCCTGTGAGGGAGAGAGAAGGGGGAAAAACCTGGCGGTGGTTTTCCCGTCGGGAGGGAAAAACTCTTCCCAAGCTCGAGGCTTCTCCTGAATTCCCAGCAGGATGGAGGGAATTCCAGCCTGTTTTTCCAGAAACTTTGGGCTTTCTAGACTCCACGTTCATCTATTTCCCTCTTTGATATTGATTTTTTGGGGGGGGGGGTTTGGTGGGATTGGGTTTCTTTCTCTCCGGAGCCTGACGCCGCGATGGGAGAGAATTCCCAACCTTGGGAATGTCACCCTGGGGACTCAAAAACAAACCCAGGGAAGAAAAAAGAAACCAAAAAGAAAACGGGAATTATCACCAGCAAAAAAAGGTGAAGGTGGGAAGTGCTGGGAAAGGTGGGAATGACATTCCCAACCAGCTGATGGAGGGGTTTTTTTTTGTTTTCGGGGGGACATTTTTTGTGTCCTGATTTTTTTGCCTTTCTGAGCTACAGTTGAAGCCATGAAACAAAAAATGATTCCAAAATCAGGGAAAACTGGGGGGGGGGGGGAAAAACACACAACAAAAAATAGAGATATCTAAGGACCCTAATGCCTTTAAATGATGCATTAAAATGTACCCCTAGGTGGGATTTTTTTATTAATGACTTTAATTACCTCCCCCCCTCCCCATCCCTCCCCTTTCGTTGGGTGGAGTTGGGAGGAGGAATTCCAGGAGTTTTGTTGGATCCCATTCCCAATGTTTTGGTTCCCCTCTCCCTTGGATTCATGCCTTAATGACGTGTACACTTTATTGCCAGGAATTGTTGGGTATTTCCTGGAGGTTCTTTTTTGTTTTTGGGGGGGGGTGGGCTTCTCCTGGAGGTGGTTTTTTTTATGGGGAGGAGCTTTTCCTGGAGGTTTTTCTTGGGAGCTTTTCCTGGATGCTGGAAAAACGTTGGAGAGAGAGAGAGAGAACAGGAATGAAAGGGTTTGAACCTGGTTGGGTCCAAATTGAGTTGGAATTTTGGGCTCTTTGTCCTGTTTTCTTCCCCTCTTGATTGGGGAGGGGTTGGAATTTCCAGCTTTCCATGGAGAATTCCTCAAGATTCCTTGAAAAGCAGCAGGGATGGAGGTTGGTTCCTGGGATTGTGGGGGTTGGGCAGGTCCCTCCCACCAGGATCAGGAGGAGGAGGGGGGGGAACCAAAAGTTGGGAGCACAGCTTGGGAAACGTTGGGGTGTTGTTGTTTTTAATGTAAATAGATCTATCTAGGCAGGGAGACAGGGCTGGAATGTGGGGCTGGAATTGGGGGGGGTTTGGGATGTGATCCTGGGGGAACTGGGATCCAGGAGATCCTGGGAGAGCTCGACCAACCCAACCCTCCCCCCCTTTTCCAGGGACATGGATTTAATTCCATGCTCCAAAGAAAAAAAAAGGGGGGGAAGAAACCCCTGGATCCAACCACCCCCCCAAAAAAACATGGATTTAATTCCATGCTCAAAAAAAGGGGGAGAAGGAACTTCTGGATCCAACCACCCCCCAAAATAACCCATGGATTTAATTCCATGCTCAAAAGGGGGGGGAAGGAGCTTCTGGATCCAACCAGCCCCCAAAAAAACCCACATGGATTTAATTCCATGCTCAAAAAAAGGGGGAAGGAGCCTCTGGATCCAACCACCCCCCCAAAAAAACCCATGGATTTAATTCCATGCTCAAAAGGGGGGGGGGGGTCAGATCACGC